TAGAGAGATTTGAAAATAAGTCAGACTCAAAAACAGAAAATTTAGTGTATATAATTCCCTGCAATAGCTGAAGCATTTTGATTGCCCAAGAAGGTAGGTTTTAATTGTGGTTTAGAGTTGTTTTGTTTTTTCAATACTCCTGCATTTCATTCTTCTGAAACTAACACACAGCTATTACATGAGTGAATTTAAAGTTTAAGCTTACTATGCTGCTTGTGAATCTGATACAAATGTTTCTTTATATTCTACAGTTATATTGGTTTTATTGAAAGCTATCGTGATCCATTTGGTTCAAGGGGCGAGTTTGAAGGTATGTGTGTACAAAGGTAGACAAAGAGATTAAAATGCTCAAGTTTTACACTGATCACAAGAAATCACAAGACAAACTCTTGTTTCTAGAAGCACTAGTGTTTCTGACAATGCAAAAAAACAGAATTTAGGAGAAAAAAATTAGCCAATTTCTCATAACTATTAGAATGTAAACTATGTTTGCTTCTCTACACTCAGTGTTTAAATAAAGTATGTAAACACTATGAAAACATTTTTTTATATAGGTTTTGTTGCTATGGTTAACAAAGAAATGAGTGCTAAGTTTGGTAACCTGGTGGCAGGTGCTGAAGAATTTCTACCGTTGCTACCATGGCCTAAAGAGTATGAAAAAGACACATTCCTTAGACCAGATTTCACTTCTCTGGATGTTCTGTGTTTTTCAACAAGTGGAATTCCAGCAGGAATTAATATTCCCAATTGTAAGAATACTAATTTATTTTACATAAAATGTGTGTATTTATGAAAAGTCCAAAAATATTAATATCTATAACTATTCTACTGTAAATTATTAATTATTCACTGGTTTTTAATTTTGCTATTTTTGCATATAAGTAAAAACTGATAATTTTAATTTTATATAAAATAACAGTAGACTCATTGTTTACCAGAAGGGGTTGTAAAATAACTACTTCTAGTTTCCCAGCAATCAACCTGCAGCAAGTGTGCATGTACAATCACCCAGTCACATGAAATATACCCACAAGAACAACCACAGGTAACTTAAAAGTGCCATAAAAATGCATTTTAATGATTCTCTCTCACATTGCTCTTCAGATGACGACATTCGACAAGAGGAAGGATTTAAGAATGTTTCATTAGGCAATGTGTTATCAGCACATACGAAGGATCTGAAAGTTACATTCTTAGATGATGAAGATGCGGTAATTATTTTCATATTTAGTTTTTAGTCTCATACCATCTGTTTTTTCATTCCTGGTTCTGTTGCCTTAATAATAAATAGATTCATATATGTGCACCCATACATGCTGAATCTATCAAGACAAGCCCGGGACTTTAGTAGGCACATGTGTTACAAACAACTTGATAAAGTTGGAATGTAATTTGAATATGGCAATGTAAAGGTCACTAGTACTTTCATTATGCGGGATGCTTGTTCATGTGTTTTGATGCAATCTATACTGCTTGTCAGATATTTTACTGTTCAACTTCAGACAATCATATCAACATCTACATTCAGACAACTTTCAGTCATCAGCAAATCTCTCCATCCATGTGTATGAAATCATTAGTTTGCATGATTTATGGATGAGTATGTTGATTGACTTTCTGCTCGTTAATAATTCTACTAATTAAATATGCACATTAACTTCATGAATGCGGTTGAATGACATAGAGAAACACGGTGATTACGTGTCATGAAAGTTCTGTGTTTGCATTCAACCAATAGTACCACAGTCATGTATTTGAAAAACAATTTTCACAAAATGTATTTTAACGCTTCTATGTTTGTTTTGTTCGCAGACCCTATTTTCATCCCTAAAGGGGCCATCGTTTGAAGTGCAGGTTGGACTTCATGAACTATTAGGACATGGCAGTGGTAAACTGTTCAAAGAAACTGATGGGAACTTCAACTTTGACTGTGATGCGGTTAAACATCTGGACACCAATGGAAAGGTGGGAAAAACATAGTTAACAAACAACTGAACAACTGCTGAGCAAATTATGTAGATTTAGATATGTGATCAAATTTTTAGCAGCTTAGGGCAACAACAAGTCCATCGAATCAAATACAAACGTCTCTCTTATGTGCCCTACTTAATTATTAGAAATTTGATAAGATGCAAGACAGGATTTTTTTTGATGAACACCCAAGTTGTCCTGTCCTTTTCATTTAAAATTTATAGATCTTATATAAGATTCAGAGCATTCGTTGCCGCTGCATCCAAGCGAACATTTCGTTGCTCGTTGTGTTGCGCATGTTTTAAAGCAGGATTCAAAACAATTTTACTACATA